CAACAAAGATGAGGAAACTTGGGTTAAATATTTATTAGACACTCCAAGCTCCGGATTATGACGAGGATCCACACCCCACTACTCATTCTCCTGAAGAACTCCACACAGAAGTGCCGTTAGCTACACCGCTTGAAACGCCGTTAGCTTCTCTACTCCGTGCAATCCAAATTTCAAAATTTGTCAAGGAGAATCGTCTCGAACCAAATTTAGGGAGCCCAGAAGCCAATGAATTTCTCGAGTTGAACGGTGCTTCGCAAGTCCAAGTAGACTCTACTCTGAGGGGCAGGTCTATATATTTTCTATTCATCGAGGACAAACAGAAGAAATGCCGCGTTTGTGGAGGTACAAAGTCATCAGCGACAAGAGCTGTGGAGTGTATGAGGGTGCATTTGAATCACAAGCCGTTCCGCTGCGCTGGCCTTGAAGCAGGATGTGTTAAATGTAGTGACAGGAAAGGTTAAATGTGGGGTTGAGATCCCATCACCACTGAACGCCAACTACATCGAAACGTGTTGTGCCTATCTGGTGGGTTTTGCCACAGCTATTTTCCAATGACCCGCTGAAGCGGCTTAAACCTTTGCAAATGTGGTCTAAAATTCCGATATTCGTCCTCTATATAACGATCATAGTGTGCAATTTCGTATTATGGTAGATTCCAAGTTGAAACTTGAACCCGACCTCGACGAGAAGCCAGCAGTTATCCTGGCTAAGCCAATGAAGTAAGATCAGCAAGCGGGGATAGAAAGGACATTTGTTTCAAGCAACCCCCTAACTCTCGAATTGAATCAATGCTCGATGTGTATGGCAGTTTGAACCTTTGCTTGGTTTGGGACCCCGCGCCTTGGAGCATACCTCACTCTGTAGAACGTCATTACCACTGTTAACGTCATTGGATTCGATGTGTCGGTCTATGTGCCGAGTAATCAAATTGGATAGCCGAAATAGATGGACTGTGGACGGTCTTTCAGCGTGAAACCTGGAGAGAAATTCACATTAGGGGATCTACCAAGCTCTAGCAACAAAGATGAGGAAACTTGGGTTAAATATTTATTAGACACTCCAAGCTCCGGATTATGACGAGGATCCACACCCC